GAAAAGAAGAAACAGCAACCGTTGTATTTTTCTATATATGTACAATTACTGCTAACATCAACAAACCATCATACACAACGGTCATTATCTAAAACTTGACACAGTGATGACAAGGGTTTATGACCTCGGCAAATAACGATGATCAATATTCCTCTTCTTATTCTCCTTCAAATTGACTTGCGATGTGTTTGTCAAGTCCTTGCAACCCAAGATCAAGACTTTTTTTGCTAGCACTTAGAAACCAGTGGATTGAATTTTACAATGACAAACTTGTACATTCAGATGGAATGCAAACACCAGCGCATTCAAATAGATAGTTTTCTGCTTCCTTTCTACCCTTGCCAATCATTTATCACCTACCAATTATTATCAATTATCTTCCAGTTTATCTTGCATTATCATACATTTTCATCTGAGCAATGATAATCGGTTAACGTCGCATCAAAGTTGTGATTTTCGTCTTCAAAACGTCACGATACATCGCCAGGATTTCTGAATCATTAACAAGATCCTGATGAAACCTTATTTAGTATCCATTTGCTGTAGGCAGAGACACGGGTGTACACGCCAGGAACATCTGTCGTGCAGTCTCCTGGACCAAAACTCGTTACTCCGAGCTGCAGAATGAAATTTATTTTATATGATGATAAGTCTGTAATCAACAGTAATTCTTATATAACCATACATTATTGGTATTACAATTTACATATTTTTTAGTGTTACTACGCCAAAGGAACCATGATCCCCTGCGTTCTCGGTTCAAAGAACAGAATCAAACAGAGAAATGAAATCGCGCAGCACGCAGGAACTCACCAACAGCCAAATTCCGTTTTCTTTCGTTACCAGCGGACCCCCAGAATCGCCCTTGCAAGCGATCTGTCCAGGATCGGCAGCGCAAATCTTGTGGAAGGGAAAAATATCATCTCAGGTTTCTCCAAGATTTATAAAGTGGCGTGCTCGGTGTTACTGTTCTCATTGGAATTTCCTTCTGCTTAATTACGTTAGGCACTTACTTGTTTATTAGTAACGGGGAAGTTGGAGAGAGCGTGAGCGCTTTTACACTCCCCTTGATCGAACACAGTGACTCCCGCTTCCTGTAGTTCGTCCGGAAATGTCGATTCCTCTTAAAATAGAAGTATATAAATAAATAATAAATAATATATATATATATATATATATATATATATATATATATATATATATATATATATATATATATATATATATATATATATATATATATATATATATAGTTCGATAGATACAAATATGTGATAACACAATAAACAATAAGAAAATTAAAATCAAGCACATATCTTCACACAAATACTATCCTCACGGGAGTCCAGCAAGCCCCATCCTGTTATGACTGCCTCGCTCCCTCCGAAGGTCTTGTCAGGTGGCAGGCAAATGGGTCCCACATTGTCGGTCCACTCGAGAGGCGACTGCAGTGTGATTACGGCGATGTCGTTGGCCTGTGACGATAATTCATTTCTGTGATGCTACTGAGGTTTGCTTTCATCGGCACGTTAGATTTAGATTAGATTTAGATAGGTTGGCTTTCTTGTATCTTGTGTCATTATCTCCACACTCACCCTCTCCCGGTCCTCACCGACATACCATCCCCACAGCCATCCCTATCCACACAGACATATATGCCATCCCCACCACCCTTCCCCATCCCCACAGACATATATCCCATCCCCACAGCCATTCTATCCAAGCCTCCAGGCTAGTACAGTGGTAACGTGTCGGCCTCTCACCCGAGGGGACGGCGGTTCGCGCCCCGCCCAGGCGCGAGAAGTTGCAGTTGTCGCTCGGAGGTTACTGCTGTGGCTGGGCACCGCGGAGGGTAAGGACTAAACTCTGTCGCGTCAGCACTCGCTGACACACGTTGATCGAGTCGACATTTGTTGGCACAAGCCGGGCTCCCCCATATCCCGGGCGAGGCTCAGCTTCGCATATCGGACTTATCCTTATCCACTCTATCCCATCCCCACAGCCAATCTATCCCATCCCCACAGCTACTCTATCCCATCCCCACAGCCACCCTTCCCCATCCCTGCAGACACATGAAGACTTACCGCGGTCGTGGCATCGAACTTCGGGTGTAGAGTGATTTTCTTGGCACTAATGGCTTGCGTGTTACTTTCGTCTTCAGTTTCTATGTTGTGTTCTCCCGCTACGACTATTACCTCAGGAGTGCTCGGATAGAGGGAAAATTGATTTCATTATTATAAGGTCATTCTTCGTAGACAGATAGACAGATTGATCAGATAAATAGATAGAGAGATACACATGCATATATGTACCTTGACATAATGTAACCAAAAGGTTACTGAGACAGCCAGACTTGTTTTACTAAAACGAATATTTTGACACCAATGAAATCACCTTGGTATTTCGTTCCCTCTATTTCAAAAGTTTCTTGGTTCACACCTGGAACCCCTCTCAGCTGTAGGCCAATACTAGTATGCTAACATCATCATGCTGGAGTCATAGTTGGGGCGGAAAGGAACTGGCCCTCTTGCCACATCATCCTGTGGCTTTTTACGCATGTTTCTCTACGAACATGTCCCCTACGTCCACTTATATACAACCAACTTTGTCTTTGGCTTTTGTTCCATTTCCTGACCACCGCTGCAGTAAGGAAGTGTGCACAGAGTGGCTGGACTTTGCTAGATGTGGCAATAATGCACAAGTAAAAAGGCTCGTATGAAGAACCCTTACTAATATGTTTTATTCCACTGTTAAGCAATAAACTAAGGCAATTAGTTTCTGAGCATCAAACCTAAGTTAAGCTGAATATTCACGAGTGCTAAGATTATAAAATTAAAGCAATAGATTAAGTGTCTTATTCAGAAACGGCAGAATACACCTTTGATACCATCTGTCAACAATATGCTCAAGGCCGAATAGTTCTCTCTTTTGCACCCAGGCCCCGGCAGCTGCTTTCCCCCTTCAGCGACACAGGTGGTCACTCTACTTTCTCTTTTGACACTTTCTCCTAAGCAGCTATTCCTCGCAAGGAATAGCTGCATAAAAGGAATGTCTCATCAGACAGCAGGGGAGAACAAGAGATGCAGAAGAGAGCATGGACAGACAGTCTTGCACGTTACTGCTCCGTCCTCGGCACTCAGGGCACGGATCTCTCGCGGGGTTTTACATACACCTTCCCTAATAAACCCTCCAGATAAGACCCCTTTCATTCCACCTGCTCTGTGCCTCAACCTTATTGCACCATCCACTGACATACCTCCCATACACACATCAGAGAGTGTCTAATGATTCTTACCATAGTGTAGCAAGCCGTTGACTGTGGCACTAAAAACTTACCTATCATAGATGAAACAGTGGGCTGCTGTTATAATGTGGAGTGACGTGATGATGGATCCACCACAGAGGATGGATGAGGCACCAACTATGATAGTCAGACGTACCATCCAAGGGTATTCTCCGGGCTGCGACGCTTGCCCGCCCACAATCCTCGGAGCCCCAGCACTGCTCGGAGCCTTCCCACACACTGGGAATTTCACGCATAAAGAGGACTTTTACTCCTTGATGCCAATGGTAATGAAAGACAAGAAAAATAGGAAATTGGCTCCATATATGACCTTTTTACAACATTGAATATTAAACTCAGATGTCAGTATAAAGGAGGTCAGTGATTGTATACAAAGGGTGAAGGTAACCCGCTGCCTATCAATCTACATGAATTCCGCAATACGTTCTATACATTTAGCATGATCTACTTTCTAAAAGAGGTTAAATAACGAAGGGGTCTTCATACCTTGATCACATCCAGGAGCCTGTGTTACACCACTACTTCCTCCTCCGCCAGAGGCTGTGGGTAGAAACGGAATCTTCTCAAGGTTTTATAATGATGTCCGTTTGATACCTAAAGTTGTATAACTTAATATGAGAACGAGATATTCTTCCAGCCTCGATATTCTTTGATTTAGATCGATCTCTTCCTCTCCATTCAGTGTTTTCTGACCATTCCCTCTCTTTTATTCCATTCTTTGTTTTCTTACTCCCCTTATCCTCCTCCAAAGTAAATGACAACACCGTGACTCACCCTTCACACCTTTGACGACACACAGGATATTTGGCTTATCACTCACTTCGCTGACTTTCTTATATGTAAGACGCACTTTCCTCAGTCCCTTTCGCGTATCAGGTCCTTCGTTATTGCAATACCTGAAGGATACAAAACAAAACAAAGCATACATGATTACTGCACTGCTTATGCTTCAATGCCTATGCACTTTGTTATTGTCTTGAAACAAATAACATTGTCCTTTGTTGGCGACACGATGGTGTGGAATATAAAATAAACATTGATAAAACATTGTGAAAAAAGGAAGATAATGTTTCTTTCATGAAATATATAAGGTTAAGATTGATATGATGAATATATTACCTCTCCGATTGGGATTCAAACCCTCACCGCCATTGCAGGTAACTTGCAAGACGGTCACTCTAACTACTGATACACGACCCACTAAAAGGAGTGTGCAACTAGGAGCTACCTAGCTTCCATATACATTATCTATCTACTTATACTGGTAGCTCCTAGTTGCACACTCCTTTTAGTCTTGCAAATTATCTGCAATGGCGGTGAGGGTTCGAATCCCCATCGGAGAGGTTATATATTCATATCAATGTGGTATTGCATTATTCCATCTTTCACTGAATACACCTCAGGATTTCCAATTTGGGATTTGAACTGTATATAATATATATAATATATATATATATATATATATATATATACCAAGTGCCCACGGGGAGTGTGTGATAGGAAAGTATATGGAAGCAAGGTAGCTCCTAGTTATAAATTCCTTTTAGTGGGTCGTGTATCAGTTAGAATGACCGTCTTGCAATCATCTGCAACGGCGGTGAAGGTTCGAACCCTATCGGAGAGGTTATATATTTATCATATCATGTGGTATTGCATTATTCTATCTTTCATTGAATGCACCTCAGGATTTAGATTTGTATGTATGTATATACACATATATACGTTTATATACATATATATGCATACATACATATATATACATACATATGATATATATATATATATATATATAATATATATATATATAATAATATATATTTATAAATATACACACAAACTTGAAAAAATATATATATGTATATATATATGTATGTATGTGTGTATATATATACACACGACGACGACAATAAAAAAAAATCTCCACTCCAGAGTTCCTGAAGCATTTTGACCTTTTCTAATGAAAATATTAGCAATGGATCCCTTTGCGAAAACCGTATCAGCGAAGCGCAATAAGATCATTCTAACTCTAAAAAGCCCGAGAAAGATACAGCAGATACTTCAACAAGAGCGGAGGACAAGGCAATTGGTCGCCATCTGAAAGAGCACACTTGCTTCTTTGGCAAAACCAGAACAGTTACACAGGAGAAGGAGAAGTACGAATGTTAGGGAATACACATGGGCGACAAAGCAGTGTGGAATATTAGGGAATATACATGGGCGACAAAGCAGTGTGGTTACTTCATGAGCAGGTTCTTCAACACACTGAAAGCCTGACAAGCTAATAAGAGCAGAGCCGAAGGGTGAAATACAGTGATAAGACAAAGAGATTAAATTAAATCTGAAGAGCGAATTGCAGAACCGAGACAAAATTGAAGAAGTAAAGAAGGATCATTATTATTTATTTATTTATTTATTTTTATTACTATTATTATCATTTTCATACTAGAGACAAGAAAGCATTGTTAGAAGATGCAGAAACACAACAGCCGTTGAAAAAGCGGAACAACGATCACAATGCAAGACTCACTTCTCTTTGGAGTCTTGGTCAGTAACCTCAAGGTATTCTTCATCGCAGTTCGAGAGGTCGAATTTCCTGCAAACTAACTGTAGCTCCGCCTTACCCCTTGGCTGCACGCACGGAGAGGGAGAGAAGACAAGTGTTATCAAATAGCGTCAGAGAGAAAAATGCAAACATCACTTCAGATGAATACATTTCTGCAAGCTAAATGTAGGTCTTGGTTGTATACGGAGGGGAAGAGAAGAACGGGTGTTATCAAACAACATGAGAGGAAAAAAAGCACAAGCAAACAACAAAAAATCACCATACGGTTTCAAAAATTACAGTAAAAAAAGAGGAAAAAGCTTTCAGGCAAAACTAACCTCAAAGAAAACTTTGCAAAAGTTCTCATTTCCTTTGACTTGGAAGGTCCTTTTCGCTCCCGCCATGAGCTTGTATCTTTTCCCGCAGTTTGCTGTTTTGGATTTCAGTTCGATGGTTAAAACAATAATAAAAAGCTTTATAAATGATACTATTCTGAGTAAGGATTCGTAATGATTTGCCATATGTCATTATTACTTATATTGAAAATAGTTGTTTTTTATGTGCAGTAGTGCATTTATTTTTCATGGTAACATCACAAACACCCTTGCTATCTCTCCCTATATCCCTAGCCAGTAATTATAAAAGCTGTATTGTGTTTTTTGTGATAAAGTGATAAAGCATTAAGAAGTCTCTTGGTGGAATTAGATTCGATATTCCGATATAAACGGAGAGATAAAACGTATATAATAAGGTCATCAGTATTAATCAATATATATTAAAGCGTTCATTCGTTCCTGGTAATCAGTTTTTTAAAAGGAGAAAAGTCGTGAAAGATTAGAAACGTGAAGAACACTATCAGTAACAAAGGCTAAAGGGAAGCTGGAAAAAACCGGGCAAACTTAGTATGCACAAAGTTTGATACCCGCCATATGTGTTACTGCGCTAGAATAATATACCATGAACTTGTATACATATTAATAAATACACATGTGCATGTACGTATATATAAACGTGTATGTGTGTACATGCGTGTGTTCATGTGTAGGTATATGTCCCCTTATCGTTGCACATTTTCATACCTCAAATATGCTTCCTTACCTTTCCCGTTTCTTTCCACGGCTCTCCTCTCTCTCCGCTCCTCCCACGCCGTCACCCCATGGCTCCTCAGGCACAGCGTCAGGGTCCTTCGGGAGGAACTTGGGTTCTCCTGGCGACATTTATCCAGGATTTCGTCGAAGGATGAATTACTGAGATCCTGTGAGTGGAATTTCGTAACATAGTTTAAATGCATATATCCTTTATTATCATTATTTGATTTATGTCCGCTGGAATCTGCCTGGAGGGAGTTTGTGTTATAACTTTAGAACACATCATGAACAAATCGATGCTATTAGAGAAAATATTTAGTATATATATATATATATATATATATATATATATATATATATATATATATATATATATATATATATATATATATATATATATATATATATATATATATATATATATATATATGTGTGTGTGTGTGTGTGTGTGTGTGTGTGTGTGTGTGTGTGTGTGTGTGTGTTGATTCCAACAGTATCTATTATTTACACAAACGGCATATTAATGCTGATTGGCATCGAGATCTAATAGCTTAAGCACAGACCTACCTTATTTTCAGTGTTTCCATAACTTGTATAATTTTCTTTGCTAGTGACTTGGTACAGGCCTTGACTCGGAGAAATTGACGATATAACAACCGCCAGAAGCAACACTTCCCACATCTCGTGAGTTATCTTACTCTTCTACTTTCTTTAGTTTTCTTTCTACTCTCTTTCACTGGCTTCTGAAAGGAGAGGGCGGGAGGAAATTAGTGCTGAGGTAAATCGGACACAAAGTTATTTTTTTTAATTGATATAATTTCACCGGAGACTGTCTTCTGCTTTGGTCGTTTGGCGCGAACTTGATTGGAATCATGATAACAGTATTGATATTGAAAATGTGTCGGGATTAAGACATCAGCATCAAAAGTAAGCAAGAAAAAAGTACAAATAGTCTGACTTCGTAGCAGACACTTAGAGACACAATGCCTGGTAACTAATCTACTCAGGTTTAAGTGATAAAAAAATGCCAAGAATGTTATCTCATCTGTTGAATATTACTCTTCGTATTTTGCCAATGGGAAGAGTAAAAAAAAAGAAAAAGAAAAAATAGAAATCATGAATCACACAATCTGATTTCAGAACCTCAAGCTGAAAGTGAAATTGGGGAACAGACAGTGGTGGAGGAACAGTTATATACCATATATTGTGCCATTACTTATAAGAATAGCAGTAACGATAGTGCTCTGAGAGTCTGAATAAACTCAGTCCTTGAAAATTTGTTACAATTTATATCGAGACATGAGCAGTATAAACAGTATTATGATGATGGGGTGGAGAACAGGATGATAATAATTTTTCTTAATGAAACGTATATACATACGTGTACTTATGGTTTTGTATACATGTATGTTAATATGTTTCCGTAATTAGAATAATCATTTATGTTTTATTTTTTTCTTCATTAGAAACTGATAAGCATTAATGTGTATTTTAATCATTTCTTCATTAGAAACTGATCATAAGACTAAATATATTGAATAAGAGGAAAAAACGAAATTAGATTAACTTCCCAAGCATAATGAGACAGAGATTAAATATACTCTGTTATGATAAATTGCATTAAGTGACCACGATATATTTAATAAGCATAAAACTGTTGGTATAAAAGTTATCTATATTACATATCACCTAACTGCTTAAACTCCTATTTTCCATTATTATCCTTATATTCATAAAACACAAAATTAGTATCTATTTTCAATCATTTATTATGTATCATTTCAAGTAAAGAGAAAAGTTAGGAAAATATATGAGATAAGATAATAAAGATATATAAACACGGAAAAAATCATAATTTTTGAAGAATATACTCGAAGAAATTGACGATATAACAACCGCCAGAAGCAACACTGCCCACATCTCGTGAGTTATCTTACTCTTCTACTTTCTTTAGTTTTCTTTCTACTCTCTTTCACTGGCTTCTGGAAGGAGAGGGCGGGAGGAAATTAGTGCTGAGGTAAATCGGACACAAAGGTATTTTTTTTTAATTGATATAATTTAACCGGAGACTGTCTTCTGCTTTGGTCGTTTGGCGCAAACTTGATTGGAATCATGATAACAGTATTGATATTGAAAATGTGTCGGGATTAAGACTTCAACATCAAAAGTAAGCAAGAAAAAGGTACAGATAGTCTGACTTCGAGGCAGACACTTAGAGACACAATGCCTGGTAACTAATCTACTCAGGTTTAAGTGATAAAAAAAATGCCAAGAATGTTATCTCATCTGTTGAATATTACTCTTCGTATTTTGCCAATGGGAAGAGTAAAAAAAAAAAGAAAAAAAAAAATAGAAATCATGAATCACACAATCTGATTTCAGAACCTCAAGCTGAAAGTGAAATTGGGGAACAGACAGTGGTGGAGGAACAGTTATATACCATATATTGTGCCATTACTTATAAGAATAGCAGTAACGATAGTGCTCTGAGAGTCTAAATATACTCAGTCCTTGAAAATTTGTTACAATTTATATCGAGACATGAGCAGTATAAACAGTATTATGATGATGGGGTGGAGAACAGTATGATAATAATTTTTCTTAATGAAACGTATATACATACGTGTACTTATGGTTTTGTATACATGTATGTACACACATACACATATACACACACACACACACACAACACACACACACACACACACACACACACACACACACACACACACACACACACATATATATATATATATATATATATATATATATATATATATATATATATATATATATATATATTATCACAACTAGTACATGAACGAGCCGTGGCCCGATATGGCCAAGCTCAACTCCCGTCGTAAATAAAGATTGTTCAGAGTGTACAATTATCGTCAAGTCTTTGTATGTTTCTTCTCTGTGTTATACTTTAGCTAGATATTTTGTTCATTGTAATTTCAGTCATTTAGTCATATTAACATAAGCATCTTAATCCCACAGTATGTCACGTATGAAATAGATCGTGAAGTCACTTAATGTAATTTATTATAATAGATTATATTCAATCTCTGTCTCATTATGCTTGGGTAGTTAATTTAATTTCGTCTTTTCCTCTTATTCAATATGTTTAATGTCTTATGATCAGTTTCTAATGAAGAAAGAATTAAAACACATTAGGTAGGGTTTGGTGAAGGATATATGATTTCTGAATGCATTGTTAATATGTTTCCGTAATTAAAATAATCATTTATGTGTTTTAATATTTTCTTCATTAGAAACTGATAAGCATTAATGTGTATTTTAATTATTTCTTCATTAGAAACTGATCATAAGACTAAATATATTGAATAAGAGGAAAAAACGAAATTAAATTAACTCCCCAAGCATAATGAGACAGAGATTAAATATACTCTGTTATGATAAATTGCGTTATGTGACCACGATCTCTTTAATAAGCATAAAACTGTTGGTATAAAAGTTATCTATATTACATATCACCTAACTGCTTAAACTCCTATTTTCCATTATTATCCTTATATTCATAAAACACAAAATTAGTATCAATTTTCAATCATTTATTACGTATCATTTCAAGTAAAGAGAAAAGTTAGGAAAATATATGAGATTAGATAATAAAGATATATAAACACGGAAAAAAATCATAATTTTTGAAGAATATACTCGAAGAAATTAGAAAAGAAATTTCCAGTGATGACACATGTATATATATGTATGTATGTATGTGTATATATATATATATATTATATATATATATATATATATTATATATATATATATATATATATATATATTATATATATATATATATATATATATATATATATGTGTGTGTGTGTGTGTGTGTGTGTGTGTGTGTGTGTGTGTGTGTGTGTGTGTGTGTGTGTGTGTGTGTGTGTGTGTGTGTGTTTTACATTTATACACACACACACACCTATACATATACATTATAAATCGTAAATATTCAAACAAGATCATTTTGCTCATAATCGGACACTAAAATCTTACCGATCAGGCCATACCGACGAACAAAAACGATGATAAGTCCGCAGTTTCAGAGAAGACTCGGTGCTGATTATTTACACTTAATACAGAGCTTAAATCCTAACTTTCATTTCTGTTTAGTGTAATAATAATAATAATAATAATAATAATAATAAAATGGTATAACTGCAAGTATTATTTTATATTATTATATTATTTTATGCAAGGTTTATCTGTTGGTCCACAAGGCTATACTGAGGGGAACTTGGTATACAGTTAGTATTATACTTCCAAGTGCGCATCACTTTTATTTTTTTCACGATATAAAACATCTGTTGTAACAAGTGTTCCAAATAACATTGGTGGTTATAAATAATGTTATATTGAATGGTGGCAGGTTAAACGAAGAACAGCAAGAGATGGTAGTGTTCACAGATACCAAGGTTTGTGAAGTTATTGGTAGGTGGTGTAGGTATTGAGGTTATTATTGTAGAAATTTGCTGTTGTTCTATCTCAACATCCTTGAGCTCCTTCCAGAAACGGACTCACGCCAACATTACTTTCAGATTTCTTAACAACAGCGGTGAATATCACACATGATTGTTGCGCATAAGAACATAATGTTCAACCTATCTTCACAGGGGGTCAACTTTCGCTATAGTTAACCTGGCTATATTTGCATGGTACTGATCTCATAACAGAAGCCTCTCCCCATCGTTATATTTTTTCGTCTTGTTGGAAGGGGTGGCGTCGAGGGGTTCTCGCGACACCGACTCTGAATTACTGGATGTCCTGTGATTGGCTAGAAGTGTTCAATTCGTGATTGGCTCAGAAACTGTGATGTCACGACTGTTGTTCTCTTTGAAGGCTTATTTTTGTGTACATTTAATAATCCCCTTCAGCAATTATCTTTTAAGGTCCGTTAATATCCACAGACTTGTCAAAATGCATTTGTATATCTTATACTCAGGGACTTGTGAGTGAGGCTATGTGACGTCCTCATATTAATGCCAAGAACCGCAATAAAGATTTATGTTTTCGTGTATATTTCGGTTAACCCAAATACCTATGAAGTAAACTCAAAATATTTGGTGTTATTTCCTCTCAACAAGCGTTCCTTGCCATTAGTAACCTCCAGAAAATACTTTCTCATTACAGAAGTCAATGGAAATTTCGCCTTCTGTTATATTTTCGTTGTCATTATCGTGTGGGTCACAGTAAATATAAATCTGCCCATGATATATAAACAATTAACCTACAATTTCTGGTATCTATCATCTACCAAGTCTGACGTCATACCCAACCGACTCCGCCATTACTACTTCATCGCTACGTCATAAGGTACTGGAAAAGCAGAATGTATTACTGGATTCACAGACCTTTAGTATAGCCGTTTCAGTCGTCCACCAAATGTGTGGGTGCGGAATGGCAGATGTGACGACTCCAAGATAAAAACTTTCCTTCTCCCCTCTCTGTCGATTAAAAAAAAAAAAAAAAAAAAAAAATGTTGAACGGCTAATACAACATACACGATTGCTCCTTGCCATTACACATTGCTAATTGTAGAGTGATAAGTTACAGAGGTCTATGGAGTGCGATAAAAAAAGAACGACTATTTTTTCAAGACAGTTTTCAGCTTCCGTGGTAGAAACAAACTTGACAAACTCTAAGAATGCTATTTTACATTAATGGTTCACTTATTCGTTATTAATAATATATCTTGATGATAATGATAAC